GTGAAGAAATACCAACCATCCATGCAAACGAAATACGGAAGGATCAAAACAGGGGGCGGGGGAAACTTATGCAGCAACCTAATAGGTACATTCGTCCTTAAAGACAGCTCCCGTGGTGAATGTCATGTATAGTTTGGTTACGAAACAGTAGCTGGTAAGTAATTCTCCAAAGGAGAAAAAGCAAGAAGAGTTCTCAAGAACACCATAAACAAGATCGCTCCCTGTCAGTCACACAGCCCTGCGGTCATTGTGCAACCCCTGGCTCACAAATCCCTTTTTCGCATCTCCCAGTAATGGATATCATCCAATGCAAAAAAAGAATACGGAAAACAACAAAAACACGGAAGAAAAACTCTTGAAGGAAAACAAACTTCTAAAAACTCGGCGTCCGAACTAAGGGTTACGGTACCGTGCATATTTGTAGTGTGTTAGTTGCTCGGACTTCTGCCACCACGAAATTGGGTCGTCGTGATTTTGCGCGTTACCTTGCAGATGGTTTGACTGGATGTTGCTGCTAATGAATAAAATGTAATAAAAGGAAAGCAGAATTATATCATGGGCACGAGCGTGGTCAGCGAAAAGGACATGAATTCCGATTAATGCCCGCCGCCCCAACAAAGAACAACTGAGCGGCCCTCGTCGGAGGGCATCTAGCAAGTAAGGCGGTCCAACTGAGCAGGCGTTAGAACTAGCACTTTTCAGCGGCTGTAGCTTGCTCTCGCTCGATATGGAGTTCGCGAGAGCGGGATGTTTAGCTTGGGGCTATATCTGGCACAAGGAAGGATGACCATGTACTACTGGGGCGCGGGGACTGTCTTTAAGTGCTGCCGCAGTTCGTGGTAGCAACCTACCTACTGGTAGCAACCTACCTATGCCTACCTTACCTGTGTTATGCCGGCTTGAACGCAGACACCGCGCCTAACCAATTCGAGGATTTTTCCTTGCCTAAATGCTCTAAAGTGCGACAGGGTTACGCAAGTAACTACTGGCAGGGGACGGAACATTACAACTTATGAGTGGCGGGTTGCCTTACAATAAGGCCATTGGCACGATAATTTGGTACTCGGATCTCAAAATGCTAGCAGGGTGCTATATAATTGGGAAAATAGCGAAAAACGAAGTGAAACAGTCAAAAACCTGCGAAACTCCTTTTTAATAATTCAAAAAGCAGTGTTGGGCGAGTTCCCGGTATGCACCTTGCCAACAGGCTACGTAGATAGTTACTACATATACAGGGGGGGGGGCAAAAAAAAGTCATTCCGGCCGAGTCACATATGAGCGAAGTTTTCGCAGCCCAGACAGAGGAAGTGGATATGAGTACCAGGGCGGAAGATACCCAAGATCTTCCTCTATAAGCTGGAGCAGGCTGCCGCCAATCGCCTTCATGTACGCCAAAATATGAAGTCATCTCCAGTCGCGGCCTGACTGGAGAACACCTTTGGAATTCACGTCGCCTCCAAACAGCTGCGAAACTTCTTGAATGAAGTCATCCACAGATAGCTACCTGGAGGTCAGTACTCTTGACCTGCAAGACCTCCCACATCGACCAGCTACGGCAACGTCGCTACGGTCTAGGACATCATCTTCACCCATTCACCAGGCGCGGGTTGATGGTGTGGACCGGCCGTACCTGGAATGGGAAGACCGATATTTTCTTTGTAGACCCCGACTGAAGGTGAGCGCTGGCGGTTACATCAAGTAACTCGAGAAGAATATCCTCCCTACATGTGGCCGTACCTTCTTGGAGACCTTGTGCTGCTACAGGTTTGGGTGCCACCACATGGAATCAAAGGGTTTTGGAAAAACTCCCGCCTACTTCGAATGGAAGGGCGTTTCGTACCTGAAGAAGATGTAATATTGAAGTATGTCCCCTGACCTGAATCCACTCAGTTACCTAGTCGGGCGGAGTTCAAGAGGGTGGTCTACGGTGGCGGAGAAATCAACGATCTCGCTCAACTCCGGTACCCACTCACTTTCGCGCGGCCGAATCTCTCGATGGCGCTCCTCCAGAAGGCTGTGGCGGAGTATCATTATAGTATTTAATGTGCTCTTTAATATGGTAGTAAAAATGTCCGATAAAAATTAATAAAGTGTAACTTATAGCGCCTTGAAAGTCATGGAGGCAAAATGACTTTTTTTTGGCCCCCCCTGTATACCCATAAACCCAGTGGAGCGCACCACGGCCGCTTCATAATAATTCTTTCGCCTCATATTACACTTCGCAAGTGAAGCAATACCAGCATCAAGTACGGTCGTTCATTTGTAGGCAGGCGAGAAAGTTTTTTTTTTTGGGCGCTGGCGGGGCGTCCGGGTCGGTATGGTTGCAGCTGACAGGGCCCTATAAGGTAGCTTCCTTGAAAAAGGTGCTGCGCAGCGCCTGTTCAGTGGCGCGGAATCTGTCCTGCCAGGCGAATTGATCCCTTGTTCCTTAGGGGAGGTTGTCGTGCCAACAGCCTTTAAATGCGAATTCCTTATGTGCGTATAGGCGTTGCTACTATGAGATACGGTAGCAGCCATCCCTGCTTGCACAAAATGATCTCCATGCTTAAGGGAGGCGATGCACTTCATGTCATGGCCTCCCTTAACCTTAGCCTCCGTTCAGAGCTTGGAAGCTTTCCAGTTGGGTCGTGGTAGTCCAGATTCGTTTGACATTCTATGGAATCCAATCAATACACTTGGTGGTTCCATGAGCATTGAATGGCGTGACGTTTCCGGGTCACCTGATCTTCAAAACTGCACGCTGGCGAAGGGTCCAAATCTTTGTTCACGTTAGAGCCGGAAGTAACACGAAGCCAAAGGGACAGAAATGGTCTGCATTTTTGTGGCTAACTTCTCCTCAGCTGGCAACTACTGCCTCGCCTCTCGTCCTGCTCATTTTCATGAATGCTGTCCTAGTTACGCAGTCCTGCTATAGTCGCTCATAAAAATGTGAGAGAATGACTCATCCAGTGATGGCACAATATTGATATTTCGAACAAGCCAAAGGAAACTGAATATGATTCAGCTTCAGTGAAAATAACATCATCACGTGTGCGTGACGTGTACATGATACTCTTTCATCACACTAGCTATCACTCACCCACCCTGCATTTGCAGGCCACAATGCCGCACAATTACCACTGTGAAATCATGTCACAGTGGTGATTGTGCGGCATTGTGGCCTTCTCAAGCTCCCTGAGCGTTGGCGTCGAGTAGTGGATGGTGATGGTGCATACCTCTAATCTTCAGGCTGGTTCGCTATTGAGATATTTACGAAAAAGTCGGGGGAAAAACATATGCACCAACCTTATACTTACCACTAGATCATTGAGCTATGCGGTGAATGCTTTAAGTTTTGACATTTTTTTGTCATAACCAGTACACCCTTTTGATTTCTCTATGTTGTAAGAAAAGTTTCAATGAAGAACTCACAGTCCTATTGCTGCATTGATAAGTACGAAAATCTCAAATACAAAAGCCAGCAGCATCACTATGAAGAACATAATGTCCCATCCATCAGCATTCTGAACATTGTACACTTGAAAAGGAGCCTTCTTCTGGTCAGTTGTTAATTAAGTGTACGATCCGTTTAATCCGTCGCTCTGATGGTCAAACTCCACATCTCAAAGGTGGGGAGGGCGTGGTTGCACTGTTCATGTGACATGTATAGGATGCGTTTATTACAGAGTATGTCTCCAAGACAACTGCCATCCTGTCTTCTGTTGGATAGAGACATGACGTGAATTGTCCAGGAATGGCAATATCCCATCATAATACAGCAACCCCGGCCACTTCGAAATCTGGCACGCAGCCACGCCCACTCCAACTCCGAGATATCGAGTGTGTTTATTGTTTGGACTGTAGATAGACTAATAATAGTTATTCGTTAACATAGATTCCTTACATCCCAAAAGACATTGCAGGTACCATCTGATACACATCCCCATGGGAAAATTCCTGCTGACTCGCTTTGTTTTATGATTACAGCTGATATTGTGACCGTGGTCCATTCTGAAATTGAGATTATTAAGCTAAAATCAATTAAAATTAAATCAATGGAGGAAAATTAGATAGCTGATATAAAGAAAAAAGACAGCATACGTAGGAAATATCGGTGCGTTTCACATGGGCTGCCTTGTAATTACCCTATTGCTGGGGATACAGAGCGCAGCCCATGTTGGCGCGCTTTTGCCTCCAAGCGCTTTCTTATGTATTCTTATCAGCGCCAGTGATCCATTTTCAATAATAACGTCTTCATAGGCATCAGGGAAAAGAGTAAAGTGCCAGTAAAACCATCACAATGTATAGGAACTATTACAAAACCATGAAAATAAATGCGACTCCCCGTTTTTCGCTAAACCTTTCAGGTGAGTCTCCTGAGAGCACAGGTGGATCAACATTACCCACGCTGGGTATGATTCACGAATTACCTGACATTGGGAAAGTATAAGTATTAATCTACCGTTTGAAGCGTACGCTGGGATACGATGGTTTGATACCTACACTTTCATAGTCGCTGAAAATGCTTGCGCGCTCTCAAAACGCTGATAAACGCTCAAAATGTTCAATACCTTGCCGTACGCTCGGCAAGCTGACGCAAAGTATGAACACACTCCCAGTGAACAGGGCGTGCGTCACTATTGATCGAAATATGAAGTGTACCTCGAGCGTCTCTCAAAGGGAAGCGTGATCAGACATCCTGGATAGTGCGGCTCAAATAGGGATGCCAAAACACCACGAAAGCCAGTGGTAGAGGATAAATAAAAAATCCCATACAGCCTCAGATAAAACCCCCCTAGCGAGCCCATTTGTACGAGCAAAGGCTACTAACGGGAAGAGTTTACCGGAAAGTGGTGTTGCGGATATTGGGTATGATTGCCGTAACCGATCACAGCTGACTTCTTGTTGAGAGCAGGGCCCTGCCTACGTTTGTTGGTGGGTCTTCTATTATAATGAATGGATAGAGCGGTGGGCCTTCAAGGGAGGTAGGTAGATCCAATAAGAAGATGATGACGTTGCTCTGCTCAAAAAGGCAAAAGGCAAGGCAAAAGTGAATGGGGATGTAATGTAGTGATACCTGAGCCGTACTCTGTTCAGTACTCCGCTCGCGCTATCCTCAATGTGCAGCACTTGCGTCGATAACTAAGTTCCGCAACGGAATAAGCACTCAGTCGTCGCGAACTGCAAGGAGAGAGCGCTGACAAACAGCGCGTTTGGCTAAAGTTAGGCCGTTGGATGGCAGTACGGCAGCGTGGGCGAAGTATGGAGGCAGCTTCCGGGCACCCCGCGCCTTCAGTCTCGTTTCCATGCACTCTTGACCGGCAAGGTGGCACGCGACTGTAGCTGCAGGTCTATTTTTCTCCACACCCCACACATGGCAAGGACCGGGATCCACGGAAATAAGTGTTCGGTTTTTCTTTGAAGAGTTGTTCGACCCTCCGTGGGATCAGCGGCAGCTACACGATCCTATGCCTTTCTGAAATTTAGCGCTCTGGAAGGTGCCAACCCTTTCGAATGCTTCCCATCAGCGTGCGTCTAACTGATCCTCAATTTTATGATAATGGAGACTTCTCCGACTCTTTGCACAGTGGATGAGGGGAGGCATGTGAAAACTGTTGAAAATAGCCTTAAGGATAACTTTGAGAAGTGTTTCTCCACCTTTTCCCATCGCTCTGAATCTTTCTGCTGACGCAAGAGCTGAGGATTAAATTGATTCTCAAAGTTTGTTGTGCCTATGATTTACGGCCCAAAGGTAGCGTTATCGTGGAAAAGCAGATAACAAAGCGGAGACCATCAAATGACTCGGTTACTTTTATGGGTGCTAACGTGCCTGCGACTTTTCAATAGACCCAATATTCCTGTCCAAAGATTGTGGAGCGGTGAGTCAGGGTACAGCATCGTTGTGTGAAATACATTGGAGGATCCTACATTTCCGCTGGGGAAGAGGGGGGGGGGTCGTTTGTGCGTTCGAGAGAATTGCCGCGTTGGGAAATAATAAAAAAATTTCCAAAGTAGTTGACTTTTCGCGTGATTGTTCCTGTTTCGTGTGTACTATACACCCCTCCCCCTCCCTCGACGGCAAAAAGTGAAATGTGGCGAGAATCGCCGTAGTAGTTGTTGGGGAGGGGGTGGAGTCGTACCGAGACCCGAGTTCGCTACCACGACCCTCTCCTGAGAGGGGTCGTGGCTGACACCACACCATTCACAATCACGATGCTGCACCCTGCAGGTGCTGCCGTCATTCACCTTGTGATACCCTTATACCTAAGAGAGTAGACGTTAGTATCAGAAGATTATAGAATGGCCCGTTACTCGTGAAATATTCACTTTGAGACAGCTGTCATCTTGTACAGTGCTGGAGAGAGGCATGATCACAATTGTGTCAAAATGAAAATATCTCACAAAAACTCTTGGCTGCCGCCACGTTGAACTCAATTTCGCACGCACGCCTACCACATTTCAAGGATTTTGAATGTACCGATGAGAGGATAGGGTGGGGATGAGGATAAAGGAGAGGAGTCAAACACCAGATTGGCTCGTGCCCCGCCAACCAAATGGCTCGCGCCCAGCCAACAAAACATTACTTTCTTCCAAACTTGTAAGTTGGAAATAAACTCGCTTGAAAGGACTAAACAGAGGTTTGATCCAAGACTGATACATGCGAATCGTTGTACAGATCATGTTGCCTTCAACGCCAACGCGGTTCAGAACGGAGATAGAATGTATGGCGCATTCCAAATAAGATTTATGCACGCCCAAAATCAGCCTTTTGGAAAACTCGGATTTTTCAATTAGGAGTTTCTCATCTATTTAAAATTCAAAACTATCTTTAAGGGATGCTTTACGTGTCATCTCAAAGAGGCTTATCGTAACAAAATAAATGCTACAGTGAACAAAAATAAGTCTTGTATTATTTCAAAACATATTCAAATCACATGAAGATTTGGAAAAGAATACTGAAAGTACAAACAAAGTAACAACATACCTTGTGTGAAAAGGCTTACACAAATGAAAATAAATGTGACTACAGCTGAGATGGTAGCCGCGAGTAACACCTTGAGCACATGGCTTGCCATTGTCAAATGAAAGGTGAGAACGTTGTGAAATGATGTGATGCGTTATCGTGCCTTAAAAAAGGACCGAAGACGCCGCCTAAGATGGCACAATCGTGGTGATTCATTGTTTGAGTTCAAGGCTCAAACGACGTGAGTGGCGTTTGTTGATAACAAAGCCATACAAACATTATATGATTCATTTGGAGTGGCATTTGGTATCCAAGAAAGACGAACTACGTAGAAAAAGTTGCCCTCTGATAAGATATATGTTCGAGGGCCTTGACGAGTCACACTTTTGATTTTGATGATTCACATTTTTCAGGAAAATCCATCTCTGCACAATAAATAAGCTTTCAGCTGAATTGTTCATGCTAGAATGAGTAAAAGGGACACTGATCCGAGTCTACTTTCTGAATGTTCCCAGAAATCGGCGTAACAGGGCCACGACACTTAAGGTTAGGAGCATGGCACTACTCAAGAGTGAGGAAAATGTTCCCCCAATACGATCCCCTTCCAAGCTCTGCCAAACGATTGGAAGGGTTCTAATACCCATTGTTGGCAGCGTTGCAACCCACCATTGAGGCTTCAGTGAGCGTGGAATGGGCCTAGCAACTGCTAGATTCCTACCAATAGTGACTGGCTAAAGTTAATTGGCACGATGGATCCCCAACACTCAAGACATGTGGGACTAGTACGCCTGACAGGACAGAATTCGGCGTCCTTGAGCAGGCATGCGTGGCTCCCTCTCCAAGGAAGGTACCCATATTAGCTCCCTATCAGGCCGCAATATACCGACCCTGACGAACACCGTGCCCTCCTGCCCACAAATGTCCGACGATCCTGA